ATTGTAGCTTCTAAGAAATTTTCATCGATGTATTTAGTCTATGATTTTTTATGCTATAAGGAATATAATAAATAATTCTAGAAAAAGTACAGTTTTTAAATTGTACTTATTGATACATTAACAGGGTATTTAAAAACTTAAGAACAGAAATTTATTCTTAATTTATATATATTTCATCCTGAAATAATTTTTTCCATCCTGAAAGAATCACAAATTTTTGAATTACCTACCATTTATATCTGTATATTTGTTTACTTTTATTATAATTTATAGTAAAGCATTAAGTACTCCATTCTGTGTGTTTAACATACTGTATATATTTTAAGTCCCATAGCTAACTGATTATGAATGATACTCTTGGTCAAAATATTAATTTCATATTTATCAAATATTAACATAATAAATTACTGCAACTAATTTTGTAAATTATTTGCATTAAAAAGTAAAAATTAGGCTAAAAAGTTTCGTTTCTTTAAATTATAGTTCAACCAAAAAACAAGCTTTGTACTGAAATAAATTCCAAATTAATATAAAGAAAAGTTTTATACTTTACCATTCCCTTTCCCAATGCCCTATTATAATTAAAATTTATTTAAAATTTATTTATTAAAGCTGAAATTAAATTATTTATTAAAACTTGAAATACTTTTTTCTTAGTTGTATCTACATTGTATATAATTTTATAAGTATGGATATATAATATATAAAAATATGAAAGATACGGAAAAACGTTTCAGACAAAAGTTGTTTGGTTCGAAGGGGGACATAAGATGGTGTTAATGGTTTGACCATGGATGGTCGTTTAAAGCTCACGTGAACGACACCTTTAATTTCTTAAATGGAAACCCCTATTTTTCAATGCATATTCTTGTAGCTCATCTCGAGAGCTTTTCAAAACACTATAATAAAGTATTTTTTTTGTTAAGAACTTTTGGAATTATGAGGTGAAAGTTCTAGTATTTTGACATAAAATACAAAATATCTTGTAAAACATTAAGTTTTCGGTAATTTTACGTTAATACTTTTATGCACGGAATAATGAGACAAATCAATTGGTATGAAAAAAAGACAGTTGCTTTTAAGAAAAAGTATGCAGATGCGTGTTGCAAATTACATATTTTTTCTTAAAGGAACTATGCCTTTTTTCATACCAATTGATTCGTCTCATTATTCTGTGCATAAAAGTATTGAGATAGCATATATATATATATATATATATATATATATATATATATATATACAGGGTGAATTTTAATGGATGTCCCATCCTTTTACCATCAATACTTCATCGAGCATCCTTTTTTTGATAAAGAGCACTTCATTTATATAGAATATGTTAAACTTTACGTCTTCGTTACAAAATGGAAAATTTTTTTATATATATAGAAAGAAAATTGAGACAAATTGGCAGATGACAATTGTGAATGGGACATCCATTAAAATTCACCCTGTATATATATTCCCTAGATATATTTATCTGTAACCATCTTCTTTACGTAATGACAAATTTGAAATTAAACTTGAAATCCAAGTTTTATTTAATCAATAGAACAAAGAATTCAGTTTATTTCTAGAATGTCATGTTCTAGAATATTAAAAATAAATATTATTATATTATTTACATATCTTTGATAAATAAACTTAAAATATTATTAGATATATTATATTAGATTTTATAACTGCCTATGTTTTCATACAACTGTTCATGTCACAAATCTTCCAATCTTTATATCACTTCTAATCTTACTATTTGGTCAATTATAATTTGGTCTTTATTATTATTTCTCACATAGATTATAACTAGAGAACGCCTAATTACAAAGAATTGTTTTTCCTCAGTGTTTTAAGTCTCGTTATTGTTGGAAGAGGTTAATAAAGGATGTCGACATGCATACTATTGAGCATTATAAATACGTATTCTCTGTAGTTATTTTATAATTAAAAACTTCATGAAATAAATATATACACACATACAAACAAACAAATATATACTTGAATTTAACTTGCTTTTAGCAAATACCTAAATATGCATCAGTATATATAGTTTTGGAGTACTTTAGAAGAAATGTATCATCTAAGAACTAGTCAACTTTCTTATATAGGTCGATTATTCAACATTATTGGAAATTGATGTTAAAAAAAAAAGCTCAGGTTTCTTTGTTTGTAAATACGAAATAAGATTCACGTCGTCTTGCTCTTCGCAGAAAGTCTCGTTGCCAAAGCATAAGCATGTGGAAAATGATGTACAATCATGTACGTTATTCCCAAGTACAAAATTATGCCGATAGTAAGAAAGAGATCAAACACAGCCGGCTTTACACTGTAAATAAAATAAAAATAATTATACATATAATCGATATCGTTGTACATTACAAATATATATGCAAAATGAACATATGCGCGTGTGTGTGTGTGTGTGTGTGTGTGTGTGTGTGTGTGTGTGTGTGTG